CGGCGCGTTCGCTGCCCCGGCAGGCAGCGAACGCGCCGTTCGCGTCGAGCTGTTCGTACGGGTGGTGCTACGCCTGCGCGGTGGCGGGCGCGTCGGTGTTGCTGTCGGCGATCGAGGTGGAGCGACGCTTCGAGATGAAGATCGCCACGGCGATGCCGATGAGGGCCACGACCGCGATGACGACCCGGACCACCGGGTTGGCGTCGGGGCCGACCGAGAGGACGACGACGGCCGGGGCGATCAGCACCGAGACCAGGTTCATGACCTTGATCAGCGGGTTGATCGACGGGCCGGCGGTGTCCTTGAACGGGTCACCGACGGTGTCGCCGATGATCGTCGCCTCGTGGGCGTCGGAGCCCTTGCCGCCGTGGTTGCCGTCCTCGACCAGCTTCTTCGCGTTGTCCCAGGCGCCACCGGAGTTGGCCAGGAACACCGCCATCAGCGTGCCCGAGGCGATCGCGCCCGCGAGGTAGCCCGCGAGCGGACCGACGCCGAGGCCGAAGCCGACGGCGATCGGGGCGAGGATGGCGAGCAGGCCGGGGGTGGCCAGCTCGCGCAGCGCGTCGCGGGTGCAGAGGTCGACCACGCGGCCGTACTCCGGGCGCTCCGAGCCGTCCATGATCCCCGGCCGGGTGGAGAACTGGCGCCGGACCTCGTAGACGACCGCACCCGCCGCCCGGGACACCGCGTTGACCGCGAGACCCGAGAACATGAACACGACCGCGGCACCGATGACGACGCCGACGAGCAGGTTCGGGGCCGTGACGTTGTAGAGGTCGGTGAGCTGCTGCCCCGCCTCCGCGTAGGCCTGGGTGATCGCGTCGTTGTACGACCCGAACAGCGCGGTCGCCGCGAGGACGGCCGTCGCGATCGCGATGCCCTTGGTGATGGCCTTCGTGGTGTTCCCGACCGCGTCGAGCTCGGTCAGGATCTCGGCGGCCGGGCCGTCGACGTCGCCCGACATCTCGGCGATGCCCTGGGCGTTGTCGGAGACCGGCCCGAAGGTGTCCATCGCGACGATGACGCCGACCGTGGTCAGCAGGCCGGTGCCCGCGAGGGCGACGGCGAACAGGGCCACGAACACCGAGCCCGACAGCAGGAACGCGCCGTACACGGCGGCCCCGATGACGATCGCGGTGTAGACCGCCGACTCGAAGCCGACCGAGATGCCGGCGAGGATGACCGTGGCGGCACCGGTGAGCGAGCTGGTGCCGACGTCCTTGACCGGCTGGGTCTCGGTGCCGGTGTAGTAGCCGGTCAGCGCGAGGATGATGATCGCCAGCACGATGCCGATGACCACCGCGGCGAACGCGATGATCTGCGGGTT